ATATTATTTGTATTTTGACAAATAAATCTAGCCTGAAGATAAGAGGCAAGGCCAAGCCACTAGAGAAGTCTTACCTCTACCAAGGTTGGGAGACAACAAACTAAGCAGACAGCCTCGTTTTCCTCTCATTTTATATTCACTCTAGTGCTGGAATTGATTAAATGCATAGGCTCCCACCACCTGAATTTATTTCTGCATTGATCTTGTGTCCCTCAGAGTAGCCTTGAACTCACAGAGATCTATCTGACTCTGCCTTCCAAATCCTGAAATTAAAGGTGTGTGTCACCATTGTCTCACTGCTAGTAGCTTTAGCTTTGCCTCTGGTCTTCGGGAAAGATTTATTTATCAAAATACAAATAATATACCACTACATTTCATAATCCTGACTCAACTGAAAAGAGAAATAATTTTCCATAGGCAGTCAACAGTGTGAGCCACAGATGCCTTCCCGAGAGTGCGAGGTAGAACACAAGACCTTTGCCATGTGAGCCTTGTGTTCCTCCTCTCGGGCTTTGCCTGTTCTGTTTCCAAATTAATAAAATAAAAACAACAAAGATCAGATCCTTTCATTCTATATTAAACTTCTCATCATTTCTCACAGTCCTGATTATTTTTATATTCTAAAGCCACTTCCAAACACCATTTTACTGTCCCTCCTCTCTCTAGACTACCATGGTTGGGAATTTCCCTGTGTGGTACTTAAGATTCCTGCATCCTGTCAGTCAATCTCAAAATGCTGAAGTAAAGTTTGTGGAAAATGGCAACGATGTCATATTCATCATTTACGTGATTCCAACAAATGGGGTCTTAAGGACATTAATAAATACCCAAGAAATTTATCTAAAGGTCATTTTTAAAAAAAAAGTAAAAATACACACCAAGATTTTTCATGTTCAAACACATGGTAAGACTCTATTGCTAAAATCATCCCAAACTTTAACTTCAGGACATAGAGAAATAAATCTCAAACCAATAAGAAAATTTCCATGACTCTGTCTAGCTTCCATGGTACCAGAAGGTACCGAAGAGGCTGCTGGGGAAGAAAACACATCAGTGATCTTACCTAAGACTGGACTTTGCATGTTTGACTATATATTTGACAGGCAAGTTACACCCACTGGAGTAATAGTGCCATGACTGTCGTGGAGTAGAGTGGAGGCCCAAAAATGTGAGCCTATTTCCACCTTGTCTGAAGACCAAAGAGTTTGATGTTGCTCAAAGTTGTTAACAGGTATGGCTACACACCATAAGTAAGGTGTGGATACTTGATGTATTAAACATTAGGATGGCCCATACAGGTAGATCCATTTCACCGTGACCAAAGGTCAAGGAATTCTAGCATTAGAATTAATAGAAAGAATTAACTTTGGTCAAAGGGCCAAAGCTGAGAGGTTATAGATCATAGTGTAGAATATGTTATTGTTACATTGCTAAATGGCCAAATAGACTCCTGAATAAATATTAAGTTTCTACTCACAGACCTACATAGCTCTCAACCTTTGTCAGTGAATCTTTATTTGCAGTGAACAATGGTCAGTGCAAAGACATAAATGTATAGAGTTCTGGGCTCAGAAGAGCCAGTGTTCAGTCTCTCAACATGGCATCTCCATTAACTGCATCTACATCAAAGCACAAGGAACACAATAGGTGAGGAGGCAGCTGGAGATGAGAGAAATTCTGTGAAATGTTGTCTTCTGTACCTGGGATGCTATAACACTCATGGCTCACAGCATGCCATGGTTATCTATACAAGACTTATAATATCAAGTCAGAATTCCTGCATAGATGAATGAGATGATCTCTAGGCCTGTGCCTACTGATGAGCAATTGGAAATTGATAACAGTCCACTACTGTTTCCCAGATTCCTGTGGGGGCCCCACAGTCTTGTAAATATGGGCAGCAATAATTTCACTTAGTGGCTTATAAAGAGGTAAAAAAATGAAGAAAAAGAGAAAGAAGTTAGGAGGGAGAGGGTTGAGATACTGGGGAGAGGGAGAAAAATAGGGTTGTATATTATGTTTCATTTAAACATAAAATTTCTAAGAAATAATATATACATATATGTGTATGTATATATAAAATTGGGGAAGAAGCAGTTGGTAACAATGTGTTTAGGGGTTAAGCTCTAATTCTTCTTAAAATTCTGACCAGTTATGTGTCTCTGTACTGACCAATGCTCACTGCAAAATATGCTTCTCTGACCAAAGTTGAGAGCTGTCTAGGACTGTGAGTGTGAATGTATATTCAATATGTACATTTTATATATATATATATATATATATATAGAGAGAGAGAGAGAGAGAGAGTGAATGTATATTCAATGTGTACATTCAATATATATTCTACATATGTATATTCATATATATATATAGTGCATGTGTGCTGTGTGAAAAGATAGATCACATTGAAGCTAACTTCAGTGTAAATTTAAATCAGACTGTGTTAAAATTCAAGTACATCTTTTGGTTATTTTTCACAGAAATAGATTTAAATTTTTAAAACACCCATGGAATTCACAATGACATCACTGAATCTTCAGAAAGCTTTTATTAAACAGGAAAAGGACTGTCTGTGAATGATTCAGCAAATCCTTCTGACTCCACCCTTTTCCATTTTTCATTTTATTCTTGTATTTGTGTTTACTATTATAATTTCTCACCAGTTATCAATACAATCATGAAAATTAGAAGTGTCAGTTAAATCATTGAGAGCTCAACTAGATAATATAGAACAATTTTTTTTTCTAATTAGAACTTTATTCTAAGTGGCTTCTAGAAAGGAAATCCCATAGTCACTCAGGAAGTCATATTTGAAATTAAATAGTCTAAACCTGGTCTAAATGCCTTGTACTATCACCTAAACCCTTTTCATTTTTCCCTGTAAAGTTTTACTCCATAGCTATATGACTGTGGCTAGGCTTTAACTTGTATGATATTTCAGTAGAGCCCAGGATCTACTTGATGGCTCTTTGTTGTTTTTCTGGAGGTCATGAATGTTAATAAGGGCCAGGTGTCTTTTCCTAACCATCATTAACATTCGTAAAGCAAAATCTTCAAGACCATATACCTTTCTAGGAAGGGTGCAGGCATGAACACTGGCCAGCAATCAAATGCAATGGGCTGTAGCAATGAGAGGGGATGGGATTGAACACCATCAAGATGAAGTCTTATAGACATTATGTCCAGTGTCCAGGAGTGGCAACAGGCATCCTAGTGACACCTTTTCTGATATTCTAATTTTTTTCACATGGCTGCTTCCCAACACTGTTTCTTCAATTTTTTTTAAAGAAATTCTGCATTCCTCCACTATTTATAAAATTTTTATAAGGTGTCTCTGTCACCTGTGGTTCAGAATCACAGTCAGTGTCTTAGGAAAAGAACACAAACACAGATAAGCACTCATATCTGTTTCTATTGAAAAAAATCAGAGATTCGTTTTCCTCTTGATTTTTATGATATGAATACTAAAGACACAAGGAGATTACATGTTTGTGGCTGACCTTCAGACATTCCATGTGGACCACAGAGGCAAAAATGTTTTAGTGCATGAAAGGTCAACTGATTTCTCTCTGTCATCTTTTAAACAGGTATGGTAATGAATTTCGCAGATAGCAATGAACTTCAGCGATGGACAAGGCACATTGTTTTGTTGTAAAGGAGTTGCCTGCACAGACCTTTATGTGTAGGAGTTTGTTTGTGTAACAAGTGTTCAGGGAGAAGTGGTAATTCTTGACCTTGTGCCTCGAGCATCTCCATGCACAACAGGTATTTGAGAAAATCAGTCTATTTTGAATTCAGCCCAGCTTCTGCTCTCAGGAAGAAGCTGGCTAAATCTGATGTAACTAGGAACTTCAGTTTATCACAACTTTATAAAAATAAGCAATACATTTCATTTTTTCTGAACAGAATTACAGAAATACACAAAATAATAAAATCAAGTCTTTTATAAAGTCATAAGAAGGACCCACGTGGAGACAAAGAGGTTACTGCTCTGCTGATCCATCTCTAGGAGGCTGCATTCATTTTCCTCCACCTCTAATTATTCATCCCTTCTTGACCTGGACCATCCCTCTTTCCCATTGCTGCTCTGCGGGCCCAAGAGTTGTGCTGGCTGTTGAATGCATTGCCCTGCCAGCTTCATCCAGGCAGGTAAAGTTCACACGCGCGAGATAAAGAGTGAAAGGAGAGAACAGACGGAGTATTTCGGTACTGCTTCCTCTCACCTCTTCCAGCCAATCGCTTTAACACAAAACCCTTATTTTGACAACTGTAGTCTTGTGCTAAATCCCTCTTCAAGGTACAGCTTTCACTGGACTCTGATAGCTGTAATTTATCTGGTTATCCCATTAGCCCTAAAGATAAGGAGGCTGTTTCCTTGGGCTCTGTGAGCACCTCAGCATTGCCTGCTTTGAACCCTGCCTCCCACTAGACCAACTATTTAATCATCTTTGTCTAAAGCACCAGGAGTGTTCTGTCTTCTATGGAAGCTGTAGCTTCTTCCAGGAAGGAACTCCCTAATGCATTTAACATGAACCACTAACTTGCTTCCATGCTTTCATCTCGGGAGTCTCTCTCATTAGCACAGTCCATCCACCGGCTAGAGCTGGACTCCTGCGAGTGAAGCCCAGGAAGGCATGATGAAGTCAGAATGGTAATCAAGATACAGCAACAACTGTCGCTGTCAGGAGAATTGGAAGCTCGAGTCTCATTGACTGTCCACTTGCTGACTGTACTGTTCACCTAGCCAAGCTAGAGTCAAAATATTCAAAAGACAGTTTGCTAAATTTAGGTTAAGACTGAAGGGATTCAATTATACTAGTCATATATTTTATGACCTTAGGCTTCCATAACTCAGGCCCTTTCCAAGTGCTTTATGACTTTGCCTGAGACGTGAAGGAAGGGCAGCCTACTCTCTGAAAAGTGCCTCCGGCCATGCCAAAATGTGACTCACTCATTTCTTTTCTGAGTTGTCAAGGTAACAAATGTTTTATCCCTCTTACCCAGTCCCCTGTCACATACAGCTCTGACAGGAGTATATCTTCTCGAGAAATCTCTTCATCTGTGTAATTAAGGCTTATAGAGTAAGGGTTCTCACATCTCTGTAGAGTGCTCATCTATTCGCTCGGCTTTTCAGAAACACATGTTGAACATCTCTGATACACCCTGCAGATGACAGGAAGAATGAAGTTACTCTCCTACCCATCATGCCCTGGTTTCTTAATTCTCAGAAACACTTCCCTCATTCTCAGATCTTCAAGGCCTCCTCAATTATTGACAACACAACTATTTTTGTATAAATATTTTAAAAGAACCCAATTGATGCCAGGGCAGCACAAAAGGAAAAGAGAAGGCAGATGTTTATACAGCCATTTTTTACCTCTTGAAATAGCCAGAATTTTACTAACAACACAATTGCTTCTCATGAACTGATCAAACTGAGTTTTGCTGCGTTTCTTTTTTATATTATGGTCTCCTATTTGACAAGGAATTTTACTAGAAATCGGAGTTGCTGCAGATTGAAGTGTGACATGGAAAGCATGTCTCTGTTTTCTTCGTCTTCATTGACACGGCACATGACATACACACAACACACACACACAACACACACCAACACACACACACACACCTGCACACCCAGAATGTCTGCCGCCCATTCCAAGCAGCTGATGGTTGTTTCACCCTCTTCAGTGTTTCACCTGCTTACACTGGTCCTAAGAGACTCCCACCTCAGCAGTAAAACCAAGAAGAGTGGATATGACCGAGGCAGCCCTCAGTTTGAAATTCAGTTGCATTCCTCTTAGCTGTGCACCCATCATCAAATCACTTTCTCTGTGAGCCCTCTCCCTCATTCATAAAACAAAGGTGTTCTCAGTGCTTCCCTCGCGGTATTGTTTGGAACAGTGAGTGCATGTGTGTGAAGGTTTTTAATGAGCACTTTCCATCAATAAGCTAGCTACTAACTGCTTTGAGAAAAGTGTTCCATGTCTCCTGTGGTGCCTGGATGCAGGTAGCAGCTAGGACGTTTTCTGCTTTATACCGCAGGGAAAGACCCGCATAAAGGAAGAACAGGGGCCTTTGACATTCTTGGCAGAGACATTTGTTCGTGGAAGCCAAAAGAGATTTTCAGTTTCAAAGGTGGCAGGGCACAAAATTTGTGTTGAAAACAGATTATCTGGCTAAAACAGATGAAAAATCAAATTCCCTGTCTCCTGGCTATGGTCAGGGGCATATCAGAGAGAGATTAGAGGAAAAGGAACAGAGCCTTTGTCCTATCTACTGGGCTAAGTACAAATAGGGAAAAATATAAGCCAGGGTATACTTAGAAATTCTGAAAATAGTGAGGGCCCTATGTCTTAGTAGAACCCGAAACAATTGTCAAAGCTGAGTTCTCTAAGTCTAATATAGGCAATTGAAGGAAAACTAAATAAGACCTGATTTGTAATAGCCAGAAACTGGAAACAACCTAGATGCCCCTCAACTGAAGAATAGATAAAGAAAATGTGGCAAATTTACACATTGGAGTACTATTCAGTGGGAAAAAATGTTATCTTGAAACTTGCACACAAATAATGGAACTAGAAAACTTCATCCCGAGTGAGGTAACCCAGACCCAAAAGGATGAACATGGTAGGTACTCACTCATGAGCAAATACTAGTTGTAAAGCAAAGGATATTGAGCCCATAGTCCACGATCTTCGAGAAGCTCAGTAACAAGGTGAACCCTAAGAAAAACATACGTAGATCCACCTGGAAAGGGGAAATAGACAAGATCGTCTGACAAAATTGGGAGCATGGGGGTGGGAGGAGAAAGAAGAGTGGAAGGTGAAGAGGGAGGGAGAAGGGGAAGGGGAAGGGGAGGAGAACTTGAGGGAACAGGATAGTCAAGATGGAGGAAGGACAGAGATGAGAGCAAGGAAAGAGATATCTTGACTGAGGGAGCCATTATGGGGCTAGCAAGAAACCTGGCACTAGAGAAATTCCCAGAAATCCACAGGATGATCCCAGCTAAGACCCTAAGCAATTTAGGAGAGGGTGCCCAAGCTGGCCTTGCCCTGTAGTCAGATTGGTGACTATCTTAAATGTCACCATAGAGCCTTCATCCAGCAACTGGGGGAAAGAAAAGCAGAGATCCACATGAGAGCACTGGACTGATCCCCCAAAGTCCAGGTAAAGAGTGAGAATATGAGCAAAAGGTGTCAAGAGCATGATGGGTACACAAATTGAAACAGTTTACCGGACCTAATGGGAGCTCAACAACTCCAGCTAGATAAGGAAGGGACCAGCATAGGTCCAACCTAGTCCCTCTGAATGTGGTTGACAGTTGCATGGCTGGGGCAGACTGCGGGGCCACTAGCAGCGGTACCAGGACTTATCCCTACTGCTTGTACTGGCTTTTTGGGAACCTGTTCCCTTTGGATTGATACCTTGGTTAGCCAGACTTAGCAGGGAAGGCCTTGGACCTTCCCCCAAAGCATTGTGCCTTACCCTCTCTAAGGAGTGAATGGGGGGTGGAATAGGGAGAAAGATGGATGGAATGGGAGGAGGGAAGAGAGAGGAAACTGGGATTGGTATGTAAAATGAAAAATGATAGTTTGTTGTCTCTTTTAAAAAAATAAAAATAAATTAAATAAAAAGAAGTGTGTGCAACAGTAGAAAGTGAATAGTTTATGGAATAACAACAAAGAATAGATGGCCCGAGACTGGCATGGTATATGAGATATAGCTTTGTGTAGGAGGACAGTACAGGCTAATGGAAATGTCATATCAGGCTATGTCCAAGAGACACAAAGATGCAGGAAGAGGGTTTAATGATCCTGTAACAATATTTACAATATGTGTGAAGTAGTTCCAACCAAATCTACAAAGCCCTGTGCTTTTGAAGTTTTCTTTTGTCACTACAAAGATATAGCTGATAGAAAAAATAAGATTGCATGGTGCAAGATCTCAACTATATACCACATCACCAGTATGAACTATTAGGCAACAAAACAAAATAAAACCCTGTGCAGCAAAGATACTCTAAGGGTTTATGAGCTAGTATTTAAGAGCCTGGAAAGTGGCAAACTAGTATAGAATGTAGATCACCCAGGTGAATATGAACTTGAGCACAATAACGGATTTGCAGTCATGAATATATGTCAGATGTCTAAAATCAGCACTCATACCATCAAAATCAAACTTACTAAAGGGAAATTATAAAAGAATAGTAAGAAATTTCTAGTTGTCTGCTTTTATAAGTCTCTTCTAGGGCAAGGAAGAGGGAAGAGTATACTGTTGCCCAAATTGGGAACATGACATTAAAAGAGAAAAATCCTCTGAACAGGTCTTTTAATTCTAGTTATCCCCTCATGAAGATAATTTCATTCATATGCAAGCCTAGGGAGCCTAACAGAAAAGTCTTCTGTTTTGTCGCTTCCTGAGAAGTAAAATTTCCCCAGGATTCCAAAAGGCAATAGATCAATATCTACCCACACCTGTTATTTCAATGCAAACAGAGTCAGAGAAGAGAAAGTCAGTGTGATTGCAAATGAGATTACACATGTCCACTTTCCTTCAAAGAAAGCAAGGAAGACACAAAAACCAATTTGGTCTAATTCCTGAGAATCAGGATTATTTTTATTTGAAACCCAACAGACAGAGATAATGTGTATTTATTTATGGCAGAGACACATTTGTTAAAGATATAATGCCCTACCTGCTGAAAGTCCAAGCAAGACAGTCCAAGAGAGTACCCATGTATGAGCAACCACAAGAAGTTCAAATTGTTGAAAAACAGGATTCCTATTGTGTATCTTTCTTGACCAATCCAATGCACTGAGTTGCATGAAAATAATGTGATCTCCTTCTATATTTTCATGATAGTTTTTATCCACCCCAACCCAAAAAGCATTTCATACAAATTTCAAATTATGTCATTAACATAGAAAGGAAGTAACTACATAAATGAATGATATAACACATAGGGTTTCAAGACTCTTGAATATTATTGACTAAGCTCCTACAGATAAATTCTTCTGAGACCCAACTAGAGTCAGAAAAGTGAAGTGAAAAGATTTCCATCTGCTGACCCTTTCTGTCCTCCTCTCAGAGACAGGGTTAAACAATTTCTACAGTGGAGAAACCTGTCTGAACTAGCAGGTTGGCTCAGTGGATAAAGGCATTTGCCAGTAAGCCTGATGCCCTGAGTTTGACACCAGGATTGCAGACAATAGAAGGAAGGAATTCCCATGCATTGTCTTTGACATCCACATGTATGCCTTTGCATGCCCAAGATACTCACATATAGAGACATACATATACACACAAACATGATTTTTAAAACTTAAGAAAGCTGTCTGTATGCAGACTGGAAATCAGCAGCATTTATTTAAAGTCCAGTCCTGAGCCTCTGCACTTTCAATTGCTACTCATTTCTCCATCATTCTAACAATGCCAGCTCTATATAACAAGATACAGCTAAAATATAAGAAAGTAATAGAAACTTAAAACATGGGAGGTAAAGTTATTAGTAAGAAGCAAGCAAATATTTAATTGCTATGTGAATGGTACAAGGGAAGAGCTACAAGTATCTTTACATCATTCCTGAATAGATACCATTTCCAAGACAAGATAATCAGTTAGTAATTAGTCTGAAGTCTCAAAGAGTCGCCCTCGGCAGATGTTCACTGATACTGTCACTCTAAGGATAAATCCATCAACCAGCATGATGTCTAATAGGAAGTGTCAAGTACCCATGGTGACAAGAGGGCTGAGAACAGATTTCATCTTGTTAGCCGATAATTAAAATAAATTGACCATCATTACAATGAATGAGCCTTTTATTCTTCCCACTGTGCCATTTCTTTTAGCTGAGCTTTCCTCACTAATATAACTCTTCTTGATTCTTGATTAATAACTTAATAGTATACCTAGATCTTAGATGAGAAATTTTTCTTATTTTAAATGAGTTAAGAATAATACTAAAAGAAAAAAATTTCTTTTTGAAAATATAAAACTCACTCCTCACTAGTGGAAAACCAAAGACTATGGTTCCACTAAAGGAACATTGCCTCAAAATGACTCATAATGACATTCTTTTATACCCATAGATCAGTGCCTTGCTCAGCCATCATCACAGAAGCTTCCTCCTGCTGGAGATGGGAAAGAATACACAGACCCACAGC